AGGAGCTGATATTTCTGCTTGTGCAGGGCCTTCACTATAAATATTTTTGCTGCTGCAGAAATAACACTAATCACATGCTTATCAGCTCCTTATGGTGTCTCCTCCGTTAGTGTCTTCACTGCCAAAAAAGCCAGGGAAATGGCAAATTCTCGAAGGTTTCAGAGTTTAGAGAAGACGTCACTAAACCCAGAGAGCAAAAGTCTGAATCCTTCAGATCACCCAGTACCAGCTTGCCCCGACTATTGTGATTCCTCATCAGAAACATTAGATTTCAAGTTACAGCTATCATATAAAATCAGCACCTGATTAACACAGATTGGAAGACTTCTGAGTCCTCGTTGCCAAACTGAAAAGTGGCATTTGCCTTGGCTCAGCCCCCAAACCAGCACCCAGTCTGAATTAAACTCCTCCTTGCATCAAAACTTCTTATGCCATTTACTCCTGCAAGTTCTCACCTCCTTGAAGTGGCCATGTAATGAATAATGCCTTTTTTTTCTAGTTTCCTTACAAGAGCACTGAAAAATGAATGGCTACTATGAATGTCAGTACAGTTTTGGAATAGAAAATGCTCTGAATACAAATCCAATATGCAAATTTTCAGGATTGTTACAGAAAAAAAAATATTGTGACTATTGAGTTTTAAATCCCAGAAAAAGTACAAACTGTGTGGAAAATATAAGTGTTTCCTCATTGTTCAAGCACTGGAGAAAGGGAAACTTCACGCTGACTGTAAACCCCTCTGAATAAGAGCTGGTATAGGTAATAAAGATTGTGGAGATTTTACTGTGAAAAAAAAACATAAGATACTGGTTCTTCATAATCCAAGAAGTTATCTGGTTTCATTTTTGTGTTCAGCATTAATATCTGTAATTGAATAACGCTGTTTGTTTTGAACTGACAGATAGAAAAGGAATTATTTATTTAGAATAAATCATTGCAGCATACTGAGGCACACAGCAAGGCATATATGAGCAATTTATAAGCACTGTACTCAATGACAGGCAAAATTCAAGGATTAAACATGAACAGCAGTGAAGTATCACAGCTCTCCGAGTCTTCCAGGCTGTACTCAGCATATAAAAGTACCTCTTTTTCTGAAGGTATAATGTGCTGTTTAGTCAGGGCTTTTGTTTTCCTGCCTGTCCAAAATCACAGCAGCACCTCATTACACGGCAGGCAGATGGGCATTTTAGTACCACTGAAACACAACAGCCCTGATTTGCGGACGTCTCCGGCTGCAATAAGCAGTTCTACATGTGAGCCTTTGATCTGTATTTTCTAAACTTCATAACAAAACTTCAAGTAAAAAAAAAACTATTAGCTGCAAATTAGACATTCTCCTGGAAGCCTAGAATTATTTTTCAGGACAGAGGGCTCAATTTCCCAATCTCAGGTGTATGATTAAAATCAATTAAATCACTCTTCCAATGTCAGCGGCAAGATTCTCCTGACAAATGAAATTATGCGAGAAAAGTGTTCTCTTCACTCTTCAACCCTTTCTCAGCATCACTCACATCCACAAATGAGATCAAAATTTTCAGCTCGGGGATTTCAGAGATATTTTCCATAAGAACATGAAAAATCCCAGGAACCCTATGTAAGTAGACTTTATAGTCTCTAGTGGCGAGATGCTGATGGCCTCTGTATGTTAGATATATTCATGACTAACTAAAATGAAAAGTTCGAGTGGAATTTAACCATTTGGGGACCACACTAGCAGTTTTTTCATAAATTAAAGTTTTAATGGTAGAATTATGTACCAGACTCTAGGATACATGTAGTAACCTTTCTGTGTCTCTTTTCATTCCCAAGGAAGTCCCCGGTGGCTTTACCCTATTGAAAACCTGAATTTTATCAGTCTCTCTCAGCTGCTTGCAGATACAAGAGCAGCAAAGCAGGCTAGACTTCAAATGACCACATCATTTGTGGAGGCCCTGAAGGGTTAATAGTTACTTACAGTAGTATTCCTTGAGACAAAACAAGGTGGATTTTTTTCTTCTAAAAGCAGATAAATAAACCTTTCTATAAGAAACACCACTTGAAACACAGAGATATCTCATTTCCAGAGGTGTTCTGACGTGGCTGAACTGTACCTTCAGCAAATTATTTACCTCTTAATTTGTTAAAACATATGGGCTTAGAGGTAACTTTGCCCATGAGGCGTACATCTATATTATATGCTTGTTTGGTTTGACTTCATTTTCCTTGGAGACTTGAACAAATGTTTTCCGCATTTCATAAGTTGGATTTTTTTCCCTCTCCTCACGTGTTCAAGGCAGCAGTGTTACATATGTATTTTGTTTCTTTTGACTGTGTTTAAAGAGGAGAGTGCTAATTTACAGTACAACAGGCAAAGTGGAGCAATGTTTCAGGATGAGAAACGCAGCCTATTTATAAACCTGTGCAGGAGCCACTTTCCAGCTCACTCCATCCATTTCCAGCATCCGATCCACTCTGGCCAGGCTGGAGGGTCGGTTTCTCTTCAAATCACTGCAAACAATATCTCTGCAAAGCAGAAAATGAAGATTTGTGCCTCTTTCTTGAGTTTCTTGTTCTTCAATATAAAAGAATAGGCCAGAAAACCAGCAAACTCCGCATAAAGTCCCTGTTAATCTTAGTGCCTTGGCACAAAACCACTTACTAAGCAACTGGAAAAGTGCTTGTCCTGTTAATGAATTAAAAAACTAACCGAGAACAGAGGATTAGTGAAATGGTTATCAAAATACTTCATCCACTTGGTAGGTGCCATAGAAGAAGAAGTTGATAGGTGGGATGTCCCCTGAATATTAAGCGGTGTGTCAACAGAACTTATTGAAGGATGCATGCAGGCAAAGGAAATGCAAGGGGAAATGGCCACAAGGTATCGAAGCCAAGTGGCTAATCTTATTTAGGAGTTTTACAAATATTTACAACTGCCAAAATTTATTGTAATGTGGTGGTATGTAACTTCTTTAAATGAGACCTGTAAAAGCCCAGTGGAGAGAGAGGTATCTCTTTTGTATTGTCTTACTTCCTTTGCTTTCCATGTCTCATAAAACTATGAACATCTTGAAGCATGACTCCAACTGGGTTAATCACATTTTCAGCTTGTCAGTCCCTCAGGTCTGTCCCTGGTATCAAGACCTTCAAACCGTTGTCCATCATGGTTGTGCCTCACAGAAAAGGCCTACACAAAGCTGGCTCCGAGGTCGGATTTATACAATTTTGCCTAATTCCGCTATCTTCTTTTATTACAATATGGGAAAACAGCAAGAAAACTGAATTGTTTTAAAATGGTAACATGATGATTGACATCCTCAAGAGGGAGAAAAGGCAGAAACCCACCAGGGCAGGCTGGAGGCTGAAGGCGTCTTCTCCTTTTTGCTTTTGGGTGGGTTTTTTGTTTTGTTTTCTGTGCATGAAATCGACACCTCAAAGTGCTTTTTTGGTTTTCCATTTGTTTATTCCAGCCATAAATATTTTATCACTTAAAAAGGGAAGCAATGTTTGCTCCTAATTGTTTTTGATTAAATATGCTAATTACTTTTTGGAATATTAATGACACATACGGTACTAAATGTTTTAATAATGCAATGAAATAAGCCAGCAGATACAACTACAAATTAACCTGAAAGTGCTACATTCTTTTCATAATTTTGTGTTATAGCAACACAAATCTAAAGGAAAATATCGGCGACAAGCCAATTTCTCTTGCTTGCTATCCAGAGTTCAACTAAACAACAAAACTAAACCAAACCAAATTCCTAAGTGAACAAAAACTACTACACTTTGGGGCCACTTTTCTTCGCTGCAGGACAAGGAGAACAACAATAAAGCCCAACTAAATATGAGAACATCTCACAAGTGTATTCTGATTATGGAATGGGTCATAAAATTTTGCCTCCTGTGTCCACAGGTCTGAAGAGGTCCTAAAGCTCATCTGTGAGGAGTATAGGGGTGGCAGCCAGTGTGATGCCAAATTAGCTTGCAATATCCAAGCAATTATAAGGTAGGAAACATTAGTTTTGCCATCAATCATTATTTCTGCATTTCTTACTTAACTTCTGCTATTTTTTTTAAGTTGCTTATTTTTGGTTCTTGCTCAAAAGAAGATAGCACCTCTTTGTTTAGCTGCTTGCCTTGCTTTTCAGTGGCACAGGCACCAGGAACGGAAATGCCTTTCCAATACAGGCTGCTAATGCTTTCGCAGGCTGAAATCAAGCTCCCTACCTACGGCAGGCTCCCCAATTCCCAGGACAATCACACTGACACAATTAAATTCTTCCTCTTCTGTGACAGAACTATATGCAATGGTTAGTATTACATTCCACTGAAAATAATTAATATTGTGGAGGGGTTTGCATGTTTGTGTGTTAAAGACTTGACCTTTTAATTTGTTTTTCCCTCAGAAATGTTTTGCAATCTAATGATTTATATAGGCAGTTCAAAGTTTCCAGGTAGTCTGTCAGAGCTTTCCAGAATAACCGTGATTGTATTTTACCATACTCAGTGTCAAGGAACTGGTTTTGTTTGCTGTTGTGTAGATATAACATTCTCAGGGTTTTATCTTTGTCAGATCTAGTAGAAGAGAAGAGTTTTAAGGCTGTGCAACGATGCACCAAGAGCCACCAACCAAGGCAGACCTTATGGGTGATGCTGGCTTTGGACCAGTAAAGATACAGAGCAACAATATTGCTTCTCAGCTGACAAATAAATACTGAGGTCCTTCAAACCAGCTTAATCTAGATGTTGTTATTTGGAAATAAGTATTTTTAAAACTTGGAAAACACTATGGAATAATATGTTGCTTGTTGCCCAGCTGCTGGGAAACTGGCATCAGCTCAGCAAGTGTGTTTAATTGGCTTTCAATGCTAACAATTGATATGTAATTGATAATTGCTTTATAAATGATAAGCCAATTGATAAACAAGGGTCTGCAAGCTTTCTTGTTAGGTGTTACCATTGGTCATGTTATTAGTGGCTCATTCAGCTATTAGGGCTGTAACAGTTGGGAGCATCTCTTTAATGCTGACCTGTGTCTCTGAAAAAAGAAACCACTCTGGGAATCCTTCCTTGAAGATGTACCTTAAACATATGGATGTGTCTTTTGCTGGACTTTTAGCTATGACACGTCCATGCTTTGCTAGCCAAGCCTGAATTATTAAATGATGATATGGGTTATGTCTACAGAGGACCTAGGACCTCCTTCTGAAATGCTAATAAAGCCAGCAGGAAAGAATTCCTTAGGTTTTTCACCTGGACTTACATTCTTGAGTTCAGAAATTCAGGTAAGTTACTGCAGTTTTAAAGCAGCTTGGGCTTGATATCTGGGAGCCTTCCACAGAGGAAACATTTTTGTTTGGATTAAAATTAATCTTCAAGCACAAATTTGTTTGAAGGTAAGCAAACCCCAAAAACTCATTTGCAAATTGTGTTTAAATTCAAAGGCCTTTGCCCTTCTAGATTTAACCTCAGACTGAAACTGGAGAGATGGAATATCGAAAGAAAAACCAGTCTTTTGTTATTTTTAGTCCGCAGGCATGCTCAAGCTACCAAAACCCTGTCTAACATATTTACTCCTTCGAGATTTTGAGTCCAGTTTCACAGACCTTAATGGTACAGGGTTTTGGATGGGTATCAAATATCAGGTGTTGATAAGGTTCTGGTAATAGTTTTACCATCAGCTTTAGGGGTTGTTAGAAGCAGACCAAACTGAAGAGAGAAGAGTTTTCAGCCCTTCCCATTTTCCTGCCCCTTTCAGGGTGATCCCCTGGGGAGTTTGCATCTTGGTGGTAATCCTTTGAAGAGGGACACTGGGAAGGCAGCTTACAGGAAGATCTGTTTTTCAGTGCCTGCTATAATACACCAGGGTTCGAGGCACGCTGCTAGGCTGAATATGGGTGGACAGACAAAAACTGTGCGAGAAAAAAGATGAGCTAATTAAGGATGTAATCTGAATAGGAACTTTTGGATCGCTCAAATGTGCATAAAGAAAACTAACACAGCAGACTTTGAAGCTGCTGACATTATAACCTCATAGTCAAGTCCAAGCCCTGATGATCAAACACATAAAAAACACTGTCTGCTCACAAAGTAGAGCCTGAACTAAAGGACTGGGGCAACAGACGGTTTTATCCGACTGCTCTTTCAGTAGCTTTAGCTTCCCACCCAAGGGACAGCTCACCTCTTGGGTTCCATCAATCCACTTCCATGCTCCGAAACCTCTGCCACCTCTCAAGCCGGAGAGTGATGAATGAGCAGAGACAGTGTGTTGCTGTGTACATGTCTGCTCGGGAGTGAGTTGAGAATATTCATCTCATTCCACTTGTGACCTTTCTCCATTCTGCAAACCTGAAAGGTCTGGGCTGCATAATCACATCTTGGGATAAAAGATAAGTGAACTACCAAATAAATAGTGGAGTGTTTACATGACCTTATGGTTTTGCAGTCCATATTAATTTTTAATTGCACTGTTAAAATATAGTAAATATCTATTATACAAATTAAGTGGTAATAGGTATTTGTATTTTTTTTCATGAATTAATCTTAAAATAAGCTGATTACATAAATCTTTAGCCAAGCAGTGGCTAATCCTGGGCACAAACATTACTTTGATAAGATACATTCAAACAAACATTTTTGTGGCAAAATGTTATCAGATACTAACACATAATTAGTCTAAGACATTTGGTCCAATGTGAGCATTTTCGAGTTGTGATCATTAAGTGAAGGTATTGGGAGAAATCCAAAAGGGAGCAGAGGATTGTAAGCACTTCAGAGTTCCTTTGTGGATTCCGATTAGGCTGCTGGATTCACTGCTGTTTCCTTATGTAAACATATTCACACATTGCGATGGTGGGGAAATCTTTATCAAATTAATGGCAAACAAAGTGATGCTCATGTAGATGAAATTATTATTCACCCGGATCTGTACTGGGCTGAAAGAGAAATTGGGAAAGAGGATCAGAACTGATGCAGGGAGTGGAATCCCAACTTCATTCTGAGTATCAGGAGTAAAGTTGCCCCTTGTTTCTACCACTGTAAGAAAGGGACAACAGGGAAAAAGGAAGAAGCTGGGATATGTGCATTAACACTGGATGCTGATGCATACATTTAGTTCTCAGCCTGCATTTCTTACATGGATTTACAGGACTTTTAGTATTATCTGTATTTCTTTGAGTAAATGTCCTATTTTTCAGCAGTATTAAAACAAAAATAGCTGTAATAACTTCATTTATTTATACAATAATCTGAAAGGACTATTGATTAATACATAATAAATAACGGTTTCTAAAATGCTTAATAGGGGCTTAATAGTGGAATCTAGTAAATACTTAATTAGAGAAGGTTATTGAACTCAGACAATGGCTATTTGACATGCTGGCATGTGGAGGAATAGCCTCTTAATTGACAGAATACTCTATTTTACAGCAGGCAGCTTAAAGAATTTTTAGTAATAGCTTGCAATGGTGATGATGAAGCCACTTGGTCGATGCACTCGCTATCGATGCAGCACTCTAATCGCTCCAGGAGATCCTGCCTCCCTGTCTGCAGGATGAGTCCTGAGGAGTCCTGAGTGCTCAGAACAAGGCAAACATCTCCAGGATGTTTTCTAATCAGAAGAACCAACTGCACAGGAGTGCAAAAGGCAATCCCCTGCGTGTTCCCATGATCCTTGCAGAGTCACTGAGTCCATTTGGGATCCTACTTGTGATCACCAAGCAAGGTGCAAACTGCCTTCTCCTCTCCATGTGCCCCCCCACTCCTAGTGCAAGAACGTAGCTCCAACATGATCAGTCCTACCCCAATGCCTTCTAGCTGTGTAATGGGTCCATTCTACCACAGTCTTGTAGCTGTGCAATGGATCAGTCTTCTAGCTGTATGATGGATTCATCTTACCACAAAGTCTTATGACTCTACAATGGATCTGTCCTACCCCACAGTCTTGTAGCTCTATGATGAATCTGTCCTGCTACAAAACCTTCTAGCTGTATAATCAACCAGTTTTACCCCAAAGCTTTCTAGCTGTACAGTGGACCAAGGTTCAAAGTCTTACAGCTGGATGCTGTGATGCTGGTGGTGGAGGATTGTACCATTTGCTGTACCCACACAGCTCTTATTTACCAGGTCCTACAATTTACCTTGAGCATCCTAGAGGATGCTGTTACCTGAGACAGATTAGCAGCCTTCCCCTGTACCCACGAACAGTTTTACCACACATTTTTCCTATGCTGAGAGCTGCAAAAAATCACCCAGTGTCACCACAACACTGCTGGGGTCTCAGCAGGCTTTGTGCTTTCCAGCACCCTGTGTCACAGAAGTGACAATGAGATTCAACTGTAACAAGGACCAGGTACTGAGTGTCTTTGCAACACAAAAGCATATATATAAAGTATTTAAATCTAAACAATTCACCAGCCCATTACATTATGCAGGATCAGGTTTTAAAAGCTCTGGATATTTCTTCCCACCAAGCAGAAAAAGTTGGGATTTCCTGAATTCAGAAGTTCGGGTTGGCCAGGGGCACTGTGATGCTTTCAGAAGTCGGTGGGTTAAAAGGCAGAGTTTCTTGCTTTGAAAGGTGTTATTTTGAAAGTTCTCATGAGCAAAGCAATTGTTTGCCTTTCCACTTACAGTGTTTGGCTTCTTGTTCCATGAAGTACAGGCAGTGTAACTAAGCTGCTCCTCACTGCTTCAAAAAATACATTGCAAATTTCTCTGAGATGCTGTTTTATTTCCAGCCTCTCCCTCTCAGTAGGCAAATACCTGAGACAGGGAATGTGTAATGGATAAATGTGCTAAAAGGGCTGTTTGGGGGTTTTTAGCTCCTGATTTCTGCTAACAACAGGGTTAGCATATAGGGACTGGTCAAACATGTGAAGTTAAGCTTGTACATGAACGTCTGCAAACTCAGGGCTTTGAGCCACATGTAGATAAATACAAATTATTGCTACAATAGAGGAAATCTGTACACTTCATATATTAAAAGTGACCTGATCTACAGTGCTTTTCTTCTCAGGTTTCCAATGAAAAATACTCAATCACTACTACTGAGTGTCACTTTAAGCCAAAATTGACTGTAATATGCTATAAAAAACACCTCCTTTGTCAGGTTAACCTGCAGAAAGAAGTGCCTTGGAGAGCAAGGGCTGTTTCTGTAAGTGATACAGATAAAAACAGACTTTAAAACAGAAACACCACAGCAGCACCAACAGAGACTCAGGCAGTTCTGGTTCATGCAGAGAGGCAGCATATCCTCAGGTTAGTGCACACAGCTGCCATGGGTGAGTAGGACCCCACTAAGGCCCCAGAACAGACGTAGCACCCTACTCCTCTACATAAAGGGTATAAAAGCAGGCAGAGACGAGCAGTGATGCAGCTGCCTCCATCACCTCCCTCCTAGGCTGGTACTCTGACCAGCATGCAAAATGTTGTATTTGACTACTATCTTTCCCAAGTCCTTGAAATCCTTTTAATCACTCGGTTAGCCTCAGGCAGATTCAGCCCCAGGGGCTTTTTGTGCAGTGCCAGCACCCACCCTGAGATGTCACAAAACCATCTGGGTGGCAAAAGAGGGTGCACCCCCAGGGAAATCCTGCCTTTCAGCTCCTCTCTCTAAGGGGCTGAATTACGCCTGCATGTGTGATTCAAGGACCACAGTCCCAACGCTCAAGGGCTGGAAGGGGTGTCAGATCTCCTTCCCTGCAAACGGCATAGGTTAAAGGCTGGAAATCGCCACAAGCATCTCGCACCTAAACAATTATATCTCCTAATTTAGATGAGAACTTCATATTATAGCTTTGTATTAAGCCCTAGATAGATACAAAATCTATTTAGATTTAATACTGCAGGAGCATCTGGTCTTTTCATCTGATTTAAAGGCCGGAGCCTTTAAAGAAGGGAAACCTCCAGCAAGAAATACCCATAAGCATTACAACCCTTCTCCTGCTTCACTTACTTTAAAGAGTAATAAGAAATCTCCCCCTACAGGCCTTCGGTGCCTAATGCAAGGTAAATAGACCTTCCTCGGCTGTGGTTTGTCCTCTTAAACACCGGGTAATCTGTAAAGGCTGCTCAGGACACGTCTGGATGTGAAGGAGAAGGCATCTCCAGCCAGCTCCTGTGCTTTGTGAGCTGCAGAGCAGAGCCCCCAGCCTGCTCCCCTGGGGCAAAGCAGGCGAGCTCCCTATGAGCACTACAGGGGCACTTCTGCAAAGTGTCAACAATTATCTCGTGCATTTTTTACTCTTTATTACCAGAACTCCACTGGGCAAAAACATTTTGATGAGGAAACTATTTCCTTTTTTTATCCTTTTACCTATTTTAAGGGGAGAAATTAATGGGATAAAAATGCAAATCACTTCCTTCCTTTGCAGGGAAAATAAACCCTCGCTCTCCCTTACTTACCAATTGACTGTTGTTTTAAGCTATTCACCAGGAACCAATATCATACATATAATACCAGCAAAACCAAACGATGCTAATGGAACATGCATTTCCAAATAACACAAAGAGAGTTTATATCCCCAAATTATTCTCAATTTCGTTTAGGGAAGGCCTGCTTGGGGATTAGGGTAGCTGTTTGTTTATTTGAATTCATTATAGAACTGGGAGTTTATTATATTCTGTACTCACTGTAAGGTAATCAAAATATAGATGGAAATTGGAATATTTTTATTGGTGCCATTTACATAGGTTATACGCTGTGAGAGAGCTAGAGTGCCTTGATAAACTTGACGTAGCAGCTGCAGATTCCTTTCTTGTATAGCTGTGCTTTTAGAAATCCCATTCTCACATTATCTTAGTTACCTGATTTAACAGGAGTTTTTTTTTTTTTTTTTTTTTTTTGTATGAGACTTTTCTGTCCATGTCTGTCTTTTGTGCAATATAATAAGATCTAGTTTTTGGAAATCCAGTGGCTACAAACCAGAACTGACCCTTAGCTTGGTTTGTTTTACAGAACGCAAAATTTAACCAAAGGAATTTAATTGAGATGGAGCTTCCCTGTTGCCATTCCCATTTGCTCCCAGTGCCCCCATCTTTTTATTCATTCCAGTAGTAAAAATAAACCTTTAATTGGACAGAAACTGATAACTGAAGTTTAATTAAGCCAAGCCACTAAAGTGAAGGGAAATTACCCAGCTAATATCCCACACTGCAGAGGGGCCATGCAGGGCTCAAATCTGGGCTGCTCTGGAGTAGCCTGGGGACAGGCTCACTCAGAAGGTGGGAGATGAACTTGCCTTCGTCTGCAGTTCTCATCTGGAACAAGGTGATGATATCTCAGCCACATTCTTCCTCCCACCACTTTGGCTGCTTCACTCACCCTCCCCAGGGGACTCTAGTGTCCTCAGCTAGGGCAACATCACACCAGGGAAGTCATCAGTTGGCTGAAAGGCAACGTGGACATGAGGCCACCCTTCTTTCCCAACAGTTTTCTGTGCTGTCATCAGCATGCAACCCTCCTACTTGTCCTGCTTGATGCACTGAAAGTCATTTTAAGTGGTATATAGCAAACTTCTTTCTAACCCAAGGTGTGGGGAGTTTTGCACAGGAGGAAGGGACCATGCCCCAGGGTGGCGCCTGCATGCAGAGGGAGTGAGGGGAGGATGCTTTTTGACTGCCCAAGTTTCCAGCTCTGCCTGCAGGGAAGACCCTGGGAACAGCACTAGCACTGGGTTTCCTGCCAGCACATCTGCCAGGGTGCAGCCTTATTTCATATTTATAAATATGCTTTGGTAACAAACAATAGCTGTTACTGGTTTTGCAGTACGAGCTGTGAACACTGGGTTACTGGCAGTGTGTCCTTTTTCACACTACCAGATTTATAAGTTGCAAAGCCAGAAGGGCTGACTGTGATGGGATAGTTTGGCCTCAGCACTGAGTTTCCCTTAGCAGCCTGAATTAGAAAGATATATTTTTGAGAAAAACAGCACCTCTTAAAAATACTTTAAAATTAGAGAACTTGCCACACTTCCCAGTACACCCTTGTGTCAGTTCATCACTCTCAACATTAAAAAACATGTACCCTAATTACTCTTCTGAATTTATTTCCAGCCACTGACCTTGTTATATCTTTGTCTGATAGATGAAACTACCCATTATTAAAGTTCACTTCATCATGTGGGTGTGTATAGGCCGTGGTCAAGTCATCCTTAACCTTCCCTTTGATAAGCTAAATAAACTGAACCATGAAATCCTTTCCTATAAGCTATATGTTCATTAATCATTAGCCTGTTTTTCCCTCAGAAACCTTCTTCTGAGACACAGCCTTTGGTGGTGCAGCTTGTTCAACCCCTAAACAGCCAGGTGTGCCCAGTAATGAAGTAAAATAACTATATAACCACCCCATCTGGTACCCCAACGTCCCCCTTTCCATCTGCTGTATCATGCTGAGAGCCAGGGGCAGCTACTCTTACAGCTTGATGGTAAAGGTGTCCTTCAGTTATTGCCTCCAGTTCCCTGTCCTCCTCCCTGCCTTCCATCCTTGCACATCAGTACCCTACTCATTGATAATGTTATGCTTCCTTCCAGGTTGTGGATACACATGAAAAATTGAACCAAGCCAAGAAACCTGCCAAATGATGGTAAGTCCTGATTCCTGCTGATAATGTGGGGCTTGTTAAGTGACTGGCTTCGTAACCAAGCGCTGATTACTAAGTCATGGAGCAGTAAATAACCACACCGAGCAGCTCCCCCCATCAGGGCTTTGTTAATTGAATAGTTAGGTTTCCACGCCAACATTTCACCTGGAACTAACATTAATTAGTAGCTCTTGTTCCCATAGCCCTGATTTGTTATCAATGTGGAAGTTGTGACCACTGCACTAAAATTGGCTTCTTTCTGCATTATAAAACAAGAATATTTATTCATCAATTCCATCGTTTCTGCACTCTGGACTCCTGTTCTACTATTGCTATCTAGAAAACAACTTGTACTGTAATTCCCTTTACTCCTAATACTTTTCAAGCTGCTTTTTCTTTTATCTCAAAGCAGGTATTTCTCCTCCTTCTCTTTGAACTCCTTAATAAATGTGAACAATTATAAGCTTTCAGAAGTTCCCTTCTAAAAATATCTATTTATCTAAATTTCCTCCCCAAGACAAATCATGGTTTGTCTTTGCCCACTCTGTCTTTTTCCCTTGACCAGTTCTGCCTCATTGCGCAGTTCTGGGAGGTTAACATCTAGAAAAACATCCCTAATTCAGAAATACTATTTTTATTTTTCAGCTGAAATTCCTGCAACTGGACAGTTCATCAGGCAGAAGATATTAGAAAAACTGGCAGCCATAATCGTGTGGGTGGAGGTGAGGACATCTGCTCTTTATATCATGAGCATTGCCAACATGCTATAGACATATCCAGGTTTCTGTTCCAAAACCCCCTCAAGAATATACCGTGTGGAGTTCCAGCTCGCTGGAACCTCCTGCTTGGTTTGGGAAATTTTGGCAAGTTGTTTTCCTTCTGTAGCTTGTTCATAATTTTCCTGGTCTTTACTACATGGGCAAAGTGTGCCCAGATTTCATGTGCCATTCTAACATATGTTCCGTGATTACATACAGGATGTATAATCACTCTTCTTTACTGCATGAGTTCAGCTGGCACCACTTTCTGACACAGTCCAGCGCTGCGAGAGAGTCTTGGGGCAATGCATGTTCAAAGTTGGTGCTACGACTGTGATAGCAGATGAACGGCACCGTGCCTTCCTCTGAATCTTTAATGCATGCTTGTAGACTTGTTCTGCTCACTCGTCCTGGAAGTGCTGGGCACAGCCGAGCTGACAGCCCTGAACATTGCCCAATGTGCTGTGACTGGCATGAGCTGCCGCTTCACTGCTCATCTTCATCCTGCAGTCTATGGCCACCTCACCATGCACTGTCCCTGGGAACAGCTCGAGAGAAGGAACAGGAGCCAATTGTGAGCTCAGTTTTAGGGACTGCAAAACCACCCAACAGCATTATTCTCGCTGTATCACCCTGGGTTCTTTTGGCCACCAGGCACATGGGTTTCCACCACCTCTAGCGATGGTAAAAGTCATGGCTCAAAAGAGGTTGGTTGAAAGGTTCACACTGATGTTTCCCTTTGCAGGTTCGTCGTGAGCATGATGTGATAAACTGAGTGATGGGCCAGTGATGGTAGAAACATGAACCCATGCAGAAAAAATTCATGGCAAAACCTGGAAATGCCTAGCTGTTTGATTGGAGAAAAGGTAGTAAGAGTATCCTAAATCGTGTAGGAAGATTTACTTTGTAATGTGTCGACACTATTAAGCATTGGAACAGGCTGCTCAGGGAAGCGTGAAGTGGTGGAGTCACCATTCCTAGAGGTATTTAGAAGACTAGTAGATGTGGTGCTTAGGGACATGGGTTAGTGGTGCAGTTGGCAGTGATGGGTTAATGGTTGGACATGGTGAACTTAAAGATCTTTTCCAAGCTGAATGGTTCTGTGATTCTAAGGATGAAAAATCTAAGTAGTGTGTGAAATCAAATCTTCTTACCCCTAAACCAGGGGATATAATTTTGGTGAGCCTATTTGCTGAAACAAAAAAAAACACTTAAAAAACACAGAATCATATTTTTTAAAGTGCTTAAACACCTATAAATATGTAGAGACAAACTAACGGGAATTTCTGGCCCTTAGAGAATCTGATTCAGAGAATCTGATTCTGGTTGTGACAATCCAGTTGTCTTGAATACCCCACAAGGCATTGATCATCTGGTCCTTACACAGCTTTAAAAACCTGGCCCTTTGATGTAAGAAAACGAAGATATTAATCTCAGAGAGCTCTTTATCTTCTCATTGTCCCATCACAAATTCTTGCACAATATCCCAGAGTTAACACAAATGGGTAACTGTTCAGTTATCTTTAAAGGCCTATGGGATTTGATAAGCAATTTCATGGAAATAATCTAAATATGCATAATAAAAAAAAAAAGAAGGAAGTGATGTTCTGTTAATGCATCACTTTTATTGTGACAAGTTTTTCTTCAAATGAAAAATAAAAGTGTAAAAACTTAGAATTGCAGTACTGTTAAGCACCTCCTGGGATCATTATAATAGACTGTACAATTATTACCTGAGCTGAAGTGCTTTTTAAAAAAGAAAAAAAACAGAACAGCAATAAACGTAATTTCATTGCTCTGCCCGATATGCAAAATCTGCCTAGCATCTATTTCCAATATGAAATCAATTGTACGTTTATTCATAATACTGCATGGAACCTTACTGAAAATCTTGATACAATTTCTATAGTATTTTTAAGATTTGCACTAGAGTAAAGCTCAATAAAACTTTTAAATGGTTTACATCCATCATGTCACTGAAACGCTTCTTAAAATATTTTGCTATTTTATTATGAAGGTTGAGAAAGAATAATGAAGGTATTTCTCTCTGCAAGCTCCTGCATTTTCCCCACACACACAATCAGCCCTCATTTCACAGTTCTGTACACCAGCTTTTCACAAGTTACCATAAGCTTAAATGGAGGAAGAGTCAGATGCCTATGATTTGTCTCTACACACTACAATATATTAAGTCAACTATTAACCTAAACACAGGAACTCCAAATTTGCGTAAGATTAAGGGAGACAAGAATTATTACACACTATTCTTTGGCTGATTATGCAATCAGCTCTGTGTGCCCACATAGCCTCTGTTTACCTCAATATATTGGACTGTATGGGTGGGATCAAGAGAGAACATATTTCGGTGATGACCAAATCTATTAAGAGGAGTCAAAAATGTTGAATTCCATCTCATACCCAAGAACAGCAGAATCTTCCAGTAAGGAAACTTTACTATTGGGAATGTTAGTTCAAGACCAGGTTGGACGAAGCCTTGGGTAAGATGGTATAGTGTGAGAGTGTCCCTGCCCATGGCAGGGGGTTGGAACTGGATGATCTAAAGGTTCTTTCCAACCTAACTATTCTATGATTCTATGCTTTTTAGGCAATAAAACCCATAACGTTGTCGCCACTTTTGTAAGAACTATCGCTTCTCTGTTAAATGGCACCAAAACCAGGCTGAGAAGCCGTTCAAGTAAACGCACACAAGACTCTTACTTAGTGTAACCACTGTACTTTGAAATGCGCTGTTTTTAAAGCAGTTAATTTACAAATACCACTTGTATCAACAACATGGGCGTTTGGTTGCTGTTTCTGTTTTGTTATACTTGTATGTAGAGTTCCTACTGTCTTGCAAAATGGAACCCCCTAAACTCTACATTGAAGGAAGCAGCAGACTTTGTTTGATGTCTTTTTAGCTCCGTGCTCCACAATGAAGATGATTGGGCAAGTAGTGATGGCAGTGCATTAATATATAAAATAATTAGGAAGAGCACTTAATGAAATTATGTGTGTGTTTTATACCTCCTAAACCTCACGGCCACATCACCTCCTTTCTCAACAAACCACAGTACAGCTCCTTTGAAAAGTATTATTAGTGACTTCTGTGCCTACCAAAAGAGTCCAGAGTTTATCCAAAAGGAAGTGAGGACATGAAGATCTGTTTAGGCACATCCAGGCTCTGCCTGCACCTCGCTTTCACAGCAGATTAGCTGGAAGGAGATGGGCTCCTGCTGCAGTGGCAGGGATTGTGTAATACTCCCTCGAGAACACAAGAGTGACTTTGAAAGTTTTATTAGGCTTTTATTAGATCGTGATACCCATTTTCAGTAGCCAGCTTGTCCAGTTGCTGGCAAATTATGGTAATTTGAAATACTGTACTGGATGCTATAGGCTGCTGTTAAGTTTCCCCGGAGCATACGACTGAATTAAACGCTGCTAACTCCTTGGTACTGGGGAGGATGAATTTTCCCAGTATGGAGGCAATTGTCTGCATTGGATTCATTTTGCCATGAAACTGAAGAGATGAGCATGTGGCATGATGTATTTTACAAGGTGCTTAACAAGAACATGATTGGGAAAAAATTGAGATCCATGAAATCAATGCTATAACCTAATATTGTTTGTTCTTAGTGACTACTGGAGCACAGCAAGATCAATGTCAGGACAGCACTATACACTCTAAGTATCAATGACCTGGAAGAAGTCATGTAAAAGGATGAGACCTGCCAATGACACAGCATGGGAAGAGGCTCACAGGAAGAAAATATAAGCAAAAGTGATATGACTCAAAACAAATTGACTGGAAAAAAAATATAAACAAGAGTAATATGAATCCAAACAGCTTGAACTGCTCTAGAAACAGGTAAATGGAGAAGTTCAATGCAAAGAAAACTGAAAGCATTCTTTGAGGGTTAAAAAACAGTCAGATTGTTGTTTTCTTTCTTCTGTATTATAAGGCATGAAAGGAAGGCAGAGAAGCAGAGCAAAGGCTAATCAGAGACACTGAATGCACGTGTAGGTAATGAAGACAAGCAGATAACTAGGAAGAAATACCAGATAGGGGCACTGGTGTGGGTTGGCAGAATTAAGTCAGCCAAGAGCATGAGGCAAAAATCTTTGTCTTCAAGTGTTTGTTCATAATATTTCTTGTTCAGAGACCACCAAGTTGTACCTGGACTAAACTCTCCAGCCTTATATAGTTGTGCCTAGTATATGACTTCATATTTAGCTATATCAAACCAGTATTCCAAATGCATCTAGGCTACCAGTCAATCCAGACTGCTAAACATATTTCCATGTGTTACTTTACTCAGTCACTGTATTACTGTGATTGAGCACAGCAGCAAAGATTCTGAGCATGGTAGAATATCTGTATTAATGCTCTCCAAAACCTGCAGTTCCCATCTGGCTTTTCAATCCTACTGCAGAAACAGCTGACACAGACATCAGTGTCCCATGCTCTTCTTCTAGCTGTGATGGTTATGTCCCATGTCTTGCATTTAGGATTATCACCAGGCATGAGTGGAAATCCTTGTAAGGTTTTATATTCTTTTTTATGCTTGAATTGCTTTCTGTGCTTGTGGCTTCTCAAAGTTTTGAACCAACTTCTTGTCAAGCTTCTTTGAATAGAAACTGAAATTGCAGTAAGTGGCTCTGACTGAATCTGAAATATTTAGCATTAATATATTGATCAGCTTATCAGAGCTGATCCAAGCTATGCCCATATTTTCCGCTGGAGGACGTAAAAAAACAACGCAGCATATTTCTTTACTACGGCTTAACTGCATTTCAGGTGAGGTAGTCATGCTATAACAAAAAAGCCCTTTTCTTAGGGCTATTTTCAGCATTGCAAAAAAAATTCTGGAGCCGGCAGTTTTTAGTTTCAGTCCAAGACCAAGCTTCAATAAGCTCACAGGGCTCTAATGATTGTTAGTGAAAATGTAATGGGCCATTTGAAATACAAATGAACGCCGGTAGGTAAAGGGATTTTTTTTTTCTTTAGTGGAATCAATTTACACTAGCTATTTAAAAAATATTAAAATAAATGTAATGCCATTAAATGTAAGCTCAAAGCCCACTGAGAGCATTAGTGGCCAAATCTGCCAAAAAAGTAGTCATGCCAAGATCACGGGACCAGATTCTGCCCTCAGTTACATTGGTGTTAAGCCAGGATAAGTCCCTTAATTTCAACAAGCTTGCTCTGAAATAACACTGGTGTTAAGTGCGAGCAGAAAGGAATTTTATTCCCTTTTAGACACTTTTTGCACTGCCCCAGTTAGCTCTTGGTGACCTGTCTCATTTCTCTCCAGCTTCAGGTATCCTGTACATTTATCCAGCATCCCCTTTCTCCAGGATGAGGAGGCTGGTGTGACCTCCAGAATAGCACCGACATTTGAGGTCACTTCCAACCCAAACTACGCTATGATTCTATGATTTCAGGAGGGGTCAGAAAGCAGTGGGAAGTGTTGTTCAGCAGGTGCCATGTTTTGGGGAGAAAAATGAATGGACGAAAGCAGTAAGAGCTAACAGGAGTCTGTCACTGCAGAATGATTAACAGCTCAGTAGAGTTCAAAGTTTTGAGGGCTATGAGCTAAGCAACAGGGGGAAAAAGAAAGGTCTTTTAAA